TCAAAGCTTCGAGGCCAGCCTGGGCAACTTAGCAAGAGCCTGACTCAGAAGGAGAAAACAGCTCTGGTAGGAGCACTGGGCGAGCAGGTGCGGTGCCCTGGGTTTATCCGGGTAGCACAGAAAGGAGATGGCGGCGGGTCATGGAAGTCCTTGGGGCATGAGTGTGTCTGATGAAAACGTAAATAAAATCAAACATTTAAATCTGTTTATTTTGTTTGTGTTTTATATTATTATTTTCTGTTTGTTACCTGAAACACAGGCTTTTTGCCTCAAGAAATATTTCCAACAGTAATAAGAGGCCATGTGTGTGGGGAGGTGATGTTTTCATGAGCACCTTTATATCTGGAGTGCATGTGCTCTGTACCATCTCTGAAGGGACTGTCCTCCCTTCAGTTCTGCGCTCCTCAGTTCCTCCCGGAAGGGAAGCCTCAGTTGCTTTTCTCTGAGACCCTAGCACCTGGCCTGATCTTGTATGGGTTCGTTCTTTTCCTTTTTCTTTTATTTTTTAACAATAGCAAAGTTTTATTGTAGGTAGGAAGAACACAGACTTTGCAGAGCCTGTTTGGGCAAAGTACAAATAGGAAAAGAAGTGCACCCTGCAGAGGGAAGGTGGGTCATCGTGCTAGAGAACACGGTGGCAAAAGCTCCGTGTGCACCGTCCTTTCTGTGTCATCCACTCCTCAGGCTGACACAGGTCCAGGCCGTCGGATCAAGAACCTCTTGGAGCTCTCACACGAGTCCTCACGTGGGGCTTTGGGGCCTATTCCGCACATACGTTCTGACAACTTGTCATGCCTTCTTTCTCAGCTAGGTTTAACCACGCCCTACCTTCCTGTCTTATTTCCCTGGAGAGACACAAATCCCCATAATTTTTTTTGTGGTGCTAAGGGAGTGGAGGTGTTTTTCTTCTGTAGCTTCTTCTGACTGGAAGGGGCTGTAGACCCTAGGTACTGGGGATTATGTGCTCTCAAATTACTTCAGGGTGTTGTAGCTCACTAGCTGGGTTAGAGAAAATCTGTTAGAAGACAAGGAGGAAAGAGTTAGTGACTTTTGGCCTGTCTGTCCAATGGGAGAAAGAAAGTAACTTTACTGTTACTTTGGATTTGGAGCCCAACTATGAAGAGGAGGAGGAGATCGGGTTTTTACCCTTGTGGAGGATGAAGTACAGTGCGGCAGAGAGGGAGGTTAAGCCGGAGAGTCATAGATGTAGCAAGGTCACCCACATACTGATCTATTTACAAACAAAGGCCTCAGTACAGGTCCCCTTTTAAGCTGTGGTGAATTAGGATGTTAGTGACTCTACTTATCTACACTTGGAGCAATACTGGACCCTTGCATTGTGAAGAGGAGCCTCAGGTCTTCTAAAAGCTTAGAGAGATAGCTTAGTTTTTGGTCCTGTGAAAATTCAGTGGCCATTTCCCATGTAGGAGTAGCCTGTCACTGCATCCCTTGAGGAAGGACCAGAGCGGTTCCTTAGGAAGTGGGAGTAAGGCTGGGGTACTGCGGCGCTGTAGGGCTGCCCTTACTGCCTCCACTCCAGCTTTTTGGTTTTTGCAGAGAGGCTTTAGACATGTCTCCTGGTGTTCCTTACAGCGCATGACTTGGACTTGCTTGGGAAGATGGACCGCCTCTGGGATTTGTAGAATTTTCTGCTTGTGCTTTATAGATGATTCTTATTAGTCCTCCTTAGTCCTTATTAGCTCCTTCTTTCCAGATTGTTCCATGGGCATGTAGCACCAGAAAGACATATTTGGAGTCTGATTAGATTTCCTAATATCAATTCCCAGGTACGAGCTATTCGCTCTGCCTTTCCATGATGTTGGACCTTTGTCCATCAGTGAAGCACACTCGTGAGGGTTGTGGAGGGGCAGGTCACTAATGTGCTGCCTGTTTGCACAGTCTGGGAGATTACTTGTTCTCAGAAGTGGCAAGCTGCTGGGCGTTTAGGCATTAGAGAGGCAGGATGCAGAGCAGTGCAAGTTTTTATAACCTCAGATGCGTCTCGGACCATGGCTTGATACTTGGCAAGTCATTCACGAGTACTTTTGGCTTCAAAAATGGTTCCGACTTGTTGGGAAGCCAGTACTTAATACTCTGTCCTAAAGTCTCTGTTAGCCTGGCTTCGGCTGCTCATGCCCTCGGCAGGGTGACCATCCAGCAGCCACTCCATCTAACTTTCTGAGAAGTATGTCACTTGGTAGAGTTCTTCTTCTAGCCTTTAGGTCAAGATACCCAAAGCAATTCCTCTCTTTTCTGATACACAGAGGAAGAAGGGTTTTCTTAAGTCAGGTGTTCTGTTGTATCATGCAGCAGATTCCACCTCTTGGCTAGTTAGGACAGGGAGACCTGGTGTAGTCCCCACAGGTAGAATTTGTTTTTGCTCTTGTCAGAATTTGACAGTTGCTCCAATTTTGCTAAGAACTCTCTTCCTTGCAAG